AAAAACAAAAAAAAACAAAAAAAAAAAAAACAAGGTTAATGATTTTGGCATGGTCCCAAAGTTCTTCCCTGCAGAACAAATAAATTAGTTAAATCTCTGATGTTGCCGTAGCATTGTACCAGGAAAACTGAAAATTAAAGAGCTGCTTTCAGAGAATTGTAGCCCATATATCACTTAATTCTCATTTTGTTTTTTAAATTGAACCTACATAACACCTGAGATTGCATTACTCAGTCTGCCTAACAATCATGGGGCTGGTAATTCTCTGACCCTTCTCTTGGCTTGCTGCGTACGTATTCTGACATACCTAAATTATTACTGAGATAGATTTTTTTTTTTTTTTCTATTGCTTCAGTTGGGGGAAAATCACTGAGGCTATACAAGTTTTGTATGGAAAGTTTTGCCAGAATTCCATTTGTAAGCATGGATTTAGAGGACTCCATGGGAAATCAAAAAAATGTTGATCTACACTTTGACCTTTTCAGCTGTTCATTGGACCACCTTAGTAAAAACAACTGTTGCCCCTATGGAGGATCAGGTGACACCATGTCTGGAAATTTTTTTGGACCAACTTTTTGTATCAGTTTAACTTACCTCTCAATTGTATAGCTATTAGAGTTCGATGCTGATTCTAAGAGAATTTTATGTCCTGGGACCTGTAACAGTATATCAGCATATAAAATGCATATGAACACTATACGGTACAGTAGCACTTGCCAGTTTTTTCAGCCTCTGCAGTTCTGCTTTGCAATTGACTAAAGGCTCTGATTTTGGGTAGTATAAAAATATATGTAGCGAATCACTTTCAGTGCTTTGAAGCTTTTGCTGTTCTCATTACTTTCAAGTGCATGCTAATCATGTGACAAAATATCTTCATTAATGAGGACAAAGTTTTGGTCTGTACATGCAGCTTTTGCTTACACTCACAAGTTATCCTCTGCTAACTTGCACTCCAGCTTGCTGTGCAAGTTATTCTCAGCATCTCTAGGCTTAACATCTTCACGGTACTAATGTTCAACTGAAGTATATTTTAGTAGCTGTTAATCAGTCTTTAATCTTTCTTTCATGTCTCCACCTTTAAGCACGTGTATGCATGTACATATACATAAATAGGGTATGAACTGCCAGCAGTTATGTACTGTGCAGTATTTATTCCTTAATGTGGTATTTATCATCCAGTATAGGTACTGATACAAAGTACATGTTTGACTAACATCCATAAATTAGGATATTATCGCTCAATTATATATATGTGGTTGAAGCCCCATCTCTGAAGACTTTCAAGGCAAGGCTGGATCAGGCCCTGGGCAGCCTGACCTAGCTGTGGTGTCCCTGTTCATTGCAAGAGAGTTGGACTAGATGGCCTTGGTCCCTTCCAACTCTAAGAATTCTATGATTCTGTGATACTTCTTTTTATAAATACTCCCACTGAGGGTTCAAATATTAATAGTTTTGGTTTAACAGATCAATTAAAACATTTCCAGGAGGTTCTGAGAGAAAAAGAAAAAAAGAAAAAAAAGAGAAAAAAGATCATTTTCCTGTACTCTGTTTTTCACTTTTCATACCCTGCACTTCCTAATTCCAGCTGGGAAAAAAAAGTGCTGTGTTGCAGTTTTTTCTATGCAGTATTTTTTGCCAAATTAAAAGCAGGAAGTACCAGAAAGTTCACAGAAGATCATATTCTTGTGAGATTTTTTTTGTCCAACTGATCTGAATCTCTTTGTCTCTAAAAATTTAACTAAGCATTTACATTATTAAATTGCTCTAGCATTGCCTGAAAACATTACAGACATTTTATGGTAAATGAGATTAATGCTTCTTGCATATAACTAAGGGATTTTTTGAAGTAATTAAAGTAGAAGCATTCGCTTGGATCGTTTAGCAGTTCCTTTCTCCAAAAATAATTCACACAATTCCTATAAGTCGATTAAACCTATTTAATTTTACAGACTAACCCCTGCCCTGCCTTTGGGAGATTTAGAAGTTGCCAACTGCATGCCCTTACCCCACAACATAATAGAAAATACAGTTTGTTCAACAATTCAAACAGTATGGGTGAGCAGACTTTGTTATGTAATGTTTTACTAAAAGGTAACAAAGCTGTGAGTGTGGCAGCAGGTTACTTAAGGAAAGTGATGAAATAAAAAGCACGAAATGAAATGAAAGAAAAGCTGTTTCCTACGTGAATTAGGATTTTATGTAAGCTTGGAGTAACAAATCTAGGTGCTCTATCTGCAGCTTTCTAGCTGTCACAGATTCTGAATGTGGGGTTTGTAAAATGCTTGGCAAAATGAAATCATTTGGAAGTAAACTGATTTTTCTTTTTAACATTTTAAAATTAGCAGGGCGGTTTGGGGTTATAATCTTCCGAGTATTGAAGTAAATAGTGTTATTTTGTTTCTTCATCACATGAGAAGCTTCCTACTGACAGCTTCCAACTATGGTACATTCTTAACTGCTCTAAATTTAGATAGCTTTTTATTAGATTTAGCAGTATTCAGATGTAGCCAGAAAGAACTTTTACCAAGAATTTCCTCTGCTACATGCTAGTTGAATTGACTGCCATAAACAAGGGCTCCATATCACTCTGATTTTTCTTGCCTTCCCATAGTACACAATCTTAGAATTAAAATGAAGCTTTACTGAGTGAGTTGGGCTGCTTCTTGTTCCATTGGAAGAAAGATTACCAACGTAGCACATACCATCATTCTGAGACTTTTAGCTGCTTAGCCTAGATTCTCCAAAACTTACCCCTGATATGAAGACTAGGAATTCGGTGTTCCCATCCCTTTTCCAAAGGATAGATTCTTTTCTGAACTGATTATTCCTGGCTAACATAAGTTCTAAGTCTCATAGGGTTTTCATAGAATTTGCCAGTGGATGCAGTTTGCATATAGTGTTCAAGCTGAGGTTTACTTACAAATGCAAGTGTGGCCCAATGCTCTGTCTGGAGCCATGTCTTTGGGGATTTAAAACTAATTTCTCATCTGTCATTTGTAGTTAATCAGCCTAGGGATTAGATGCATGATGTATTGGCAATTTCTGACTTTTAATAGAGACAACATGTTCTCTTGCTTCATGACTTGTTCTTTTACAACTTTGGTCTCAAACAGTTGTCTGGCATATGAGTTCCAGAGAACAGATGGCTTAAACCAGAAAGGACCTATTAAGATGCAGGAATTAAATATTTAATATTGAACAACATGGAGTCAAATATACTTTCTGTTTAGCTTTCCTTTATAACTCTCTAACTGTACATAGCATATTCAAAATGTTATTAGCATGCATAGTAGATGTGGGTGGCAGTGCCAGGAGATCAGATCCCCTTCTGAAGCTTTTATAGGGACCATCAGTTTGAGTCAAGCATGACACAGTTGTGCTGTAAAGTAACAATCTCAGTCTTTGTTCACAGTTTGTAATATATGTCAGCTGCAACAACTGACTGACCTACAGGAGTTTGTCAAAAGGCTGTGTACAATCAGGGAGGCAGAAACAGCAAGTTTCACATGCAGCCTGTATTGAATCTACAGTCTGGGGACAAGCAGTCCCAAACTCCTCCACTTGCACACCCATTTGGAGAGAAGGACAACAGTGGTGAGAAATGGCAAATAGCCATGAGAAGGACTAACAAGAAGAAGCAGCCTGCCCCAAAGCCTGATGTGCCTCTGTGGAACCACTTTGACTTTCAGCAGACTGAGAAGGAAAGAGAAACAGTAACAGGTACGTTGTCTGAACTGAATAAGGCAGCCAGACCTGTTGCAGATCAACTACAGCAACTAAGAAAAATTGACAGGTGATTGTGGTGGGTGATTCTTTTCTGAGGGGTACAGAGGCATCCATTTGTCATTCTGACCTGCTATCTCAAGAGGTCTGCTACTTGCCAGGGGCCCACATCAGGTATGTGACACAGAGTCAGCCAGACCTTGTACATCCCACAGACTTCAGCCTGCTGATGCCCCAGTAACACAGATGTTAGCAACCTGAAGAATATCAAGAGAGTCTACAAGGAGCTGAGAGCATAGGTAATCTCATCAATCCTCCGGGTTAGGGAAATGGGGAGGGAAAGGGCTGATAGAATTAAGAAAATCAATACATAGTTAAGGGAACAGTGTCATGAACAGGGCTTTGGCTATTTATGTGATAGAACTAGTTTTGAGTAATCTGCTCTTCTGGGAGAGGATGGGATTCATCTCTCAGAGAAGAGGAAGACCATCTTTGGCAGCAAGGTTTCCAGTTTAATCTTTAAACTAGGACTTAAACTAGGGTTGCTGAGGTAAGTGATCCTCAAAGCATCCCATTTAGAGGCTGATGATGGTAATGGATGCTCTGGGCTTGGAGTTGGATCACAAGCAAGACAGCCCTTAAGGTGCAGGATTAGAGAACTCCAACTGCTAAATCAGCCTCAATGGGAGCCCAGATCAAATGCCTGCACACTAATGCACAGAGCATGGGAACAAGGAGCAGCTTCATGTTACATAGTCTTCATGGAGGACTTCAATGGCTTTAAACTGGAAGAGGGCAGATTTAGACTAGATAACAGGAATAAATTCTTTACTGTGAGGGTGCTGAGACACTGGAACAGGTTTCTCAGAGAGGCTGTGGATGCTCCATCCGTGGAAGCATTCAAGGCCAGGCTGGATGGGGCTTTGAGCAGCCTGGTCTAGAGGGAGGTGTCCCTGCCTGTAGCTGGGGGATTGGACCAACATCATCTTAAACCCTTCTAGCCCAAACCATTCTATAATTCTCTTATTTCATTCTGTGATCTTAGTGGCCTTTTCCGTCCTTAATGATTCTCTGGTTAAGCCGAAATGGATGAAGCTTAACGTTAACCCTTCAGCAGCGCCTTGCCGAGGTGCTGCAAAGCAGCGGGAAGGGACGCGCCTACTCCCCCTCCTGAACTACACTTCCCATGGTGCACCACGCGGGCAGCGCACATGTGCAGACCAGTCAGCCCAGTCCTGGAGGGCGGGCAGGGGGGTTTTGTTTCCGGGCCGAGCACGCCTGAGAACGCGGGGGGCTTCCGGGGTGCGGGCAGTCTATCGGTCCGCGGGTATGGATGAGGACGGGCTGCCCATCGTGGGCTCCGGCATCGACCTCACTAAGGTACGGCTGCGCCTCGCCTCGCCTGGCGCTTCATCCCTCGTCCTCAGCGGAGCTGCTTCACGTGCAGCGCTTTTGGTTGTGAAAGTTTCTCTCTAGCAAACATAATATTCTTCATTTTTCGTTTGAAAAGCATACGCATCTGACGTGGAGGATTTGTTTTCCTCCTTCTGCGTCAGAAGGAGCAGCTCAGCTTTGCCCTCTTGATGTTTAGTTTCTTAATGCTAACTCTGAGGAGAGTTCGCTATTCCATCTAAAAGCTTCTGAAATAAGATAACATTCCTTCATTTGGATATTATCCTTTTTTTCCGTGCATCCTGCCACTTTTCAAGTGTGTTCTTAGATATTGGTGGCGGAAAAGGATTTTTACTTAGGTTGCTTTGAAAGTAGTGCCTCCTATTTAATTTCCATGGAAACTACAACAAAGAGCAGAATAATGCTGTTTGGTAAATTCTCGGCTACAAAGCACAGTTTTTCAACAGTCACCACCGTTAGCTCTGTCTTTTCACCTGTAGTGAGTAACAGCCTGCATGCTGTGCTTATAACAATCTGCACCAGCAGAGGTGACCCTCTGTTGCTGTCAGTGCTGCTGAAACACACCACCACAGCCTCACTGTGCTCACAGCCTCTGTTTGGTCTCCAGAAACGTTCAGAAAGCCTCCATGAATATCAACAGGTGCCATTTTTTCCTCGTGGAAACAACATCACACAGAATGTAACAGAATATCAGTGCGAAGGTTTCAGCCTCTGCTGCCATACCACCAACATCCACCTCTGATGTCATTGGCCAGCATCATAACATGGGGGGCATTACTTCTGGAGCAATCCTCATATATGTTATGTAAATTTAGATTTTATGCATCCGTAGCAAACACACTTAAGGCAGATCTCCAAATATTTTTCCTGAATTTTTGCATTTTTAATACGTGTTTCAGTCCAAAAGTGAGGATTAGCACCTACAAATTGTCTCATTTTCTCGTATTGTTTACTGCAGGTTCCTGCTATTCAGCAGAAAAGAACTGTAGCGTTTCTAAACCAATTTGTTGTTCACACAGTGCAGTTTCTGAACCGCTTTTCTACTGTTTGTGAAGAGGTATGTTTGCTATTTTTCATCCCTCACTTTATTCCACGAGAAAGATTCCTAGAAATGAGGACAATTCACATCACTATTTTTGCTGCATTTGTAACAGTAGCTTTAGAATCTAGTCTGCTCATCAGTCTTTCTGCTCATTTTGAATGCATTACTAAGACAGATTTTTTTTTTCCTCCAATATATCCACTGCTGATTATGCCTCACTTAACCTTATTTCATTGAACTTTCATATTTGGCATAGCTTTTGAACTTTGATTCTCTTTCTTAGAGCTTTCTACTGTGAATATAGTCTCATTTTGGAAAGAGGCTGCTCTGTTGGTGCTGACACCATTTTGACATTCTCTGTTCCCCTCATCTGTGTCATAGAGCACTGCATCAAAACTTGCTTTCAGTTTTCTCTGCCTTTACTTTAAAAGGGTGGTATACAAATATCTCTGGAGGCGAACAATTTTTGATGTGAAAAAGGGATGTTTTTGGCAAGTGATTACTCTGGAACATGAAGCAGTTGATGTTTATGATTTGTGAAGGAAAAAAAAGTTCTTAAAAATCAGTAGTAAGTTTTTGTCTCAAATTTAATGTCATTGGAATTTTACTAGGATTAAAATTTTCCACAGGACAGGAAAGGAATGCTTCTTCAGTTGCAGAATTGATGTTTTCTGATGTGGCTGTAAGCTTAACTTTCTGTCATTTGTTGGGCTTTTTGTAGCTGTGTACTAGGTTATTCAACAAAAGCCACTATACAGCCCTAGCTATCAGCAATTGTCAGATCCAGAGTAAGCAATGTAACCTGAGAAATTCTTGTATTAGTAAAGGTTACAGCCAGACTCTTGGCAAATATAAATTTTGACTACTATATTAACATATAGGTTTCAAAATTAAAAAAAAAAAAAAAAAAAAAAAATCAAAAAAACTGGATTTTCTTGACTTGGTATATGGGATATTGTCACTGCCCAGTGATGTTATCAGTTGTCCAGAACTGGATTTTCATGTGATCTCAATATTACTTATTATAAAAGGCACTGCAGAAATCAAGGTGTATATACAAAAAGCCATCTTGAGCACGGAGCAACACTATGAAGTCTGATTAATAAAGCAGTTATTAGTTAACCTAAATGTGTTGCTGCTGAACAGACTTAGTAGTTACTCTACAAACTTGAAAAGATTTTGCATTTATGAAGTACAGAAGTGTTTTTAATGTACATGGTCCCAGTGTAAATCAGCAGAAGTCAGAAAATTCAGAATTCAGGCTGCCACCAGCCTACCTCTAAATTCTTGTCAAGCTGATATGTCTTTAGAACTATCTTTTGTGCATCTTTCTTCCCCTTTTGACCACTGCTTGCAGAGTGTATAGATCCTTTCAAGGCAGCTGATTTCTCTTTGTGAACAAAGAGCCGTCTGTAAACAAGTCAGAGTACTATCCAGAAAGACTAACTTTTGTCACTCCCTTTTTACTTTTTCAGCGTATTGGCAGAACTGCCATTTTCTTAGGGTGTTAAAGCTCTGCTTAAGAGCCAGGCAGAATCTTGCCCATGTGCCAGAGAGCTGTCAGAGTGGTACATATCTGCCAGCCTGCGTGCTAAGCCAATTTCACTTGGACAGGTCTGGTGGAGTATGGTAACGATTAGTTAACAGAGTGACTGTGCTTATAGAGTAATTTAGAAAAACTTAAGTTGTTTGTAAGAAAAATATATCCAAATTTTATTGAGGTATACTTGGAAAATATAAACCTTCTGGTTAGTCCAGATTCACTGTGACTGTCTAAGACTTCCATTCACCTGCTATAATCTTTATCAAATATTTCTGTTTGTATGTGTTCAGTTGCATATGCACACATCACATCTTTTCTTCCTTCACATTTGGAAAAAGCTTTGAAGGAAGTTATTTTGGTCAACTGTGAGAGTACAGTGTGTCTGCCATTAGTCTGTCATTTGGTTGCCCAAAGTGCCCTGCTTACTTTGGCTGCCATTTGTACATAATCTGTCTTCATTTCTGTATGTCAAATAATATATAGTAAAATTAGTTACAATTTGAACCACTGTAGCTACTGTACTAAAAAGGGGTGATGGCGTTGCTTCGTTTATTTCATGTACGTTCATCTCATTTATACTCTACTGTCTTTTGCAAGTTGAAACCAAAAGAGATTTTATTTAACTAGATGTTAACGCTGTTATGTATATTAGTGGCCCAGGAAAGTGTTTTCACATCTTAATTGTTTTCTATTCTAGAAATTGTCAGCACTCTCTCTCCGTATCCAGCAAATTGAAACAACACTCAATATATTGGATGCAAAGGTTTGTATGTGTACAGACTAACTTTGAGCAGTGACAGATGTGTCTGATGGATGTTCTTTAGATAAGGTGACGTAAGGATATAACCAGTAGTCATGAATTATCATTTAATTAGCTGCAAGAAAAAAAAAACAGCCAAAACTTTAAACAATTCTTTTGTTAATGACAGAAGCAATTTCTGTTGGCAGTAGCAAAATGCTGGGAAGGTGTTGAAACCTTTCTTGCCCTGCAGCTCAGTGTGAGCAGTAAAGGCTTCAACTGAGCATTTTGGGATTTTCTTATAGAAACCACCTGAACAGGGAAGTCCCTTTTTTCTTTTTTTTTTTTTCTTTTTTTTTTTTTTTTTTTTTTTTTCGGGGAGGGGAGGGGGGCAGAGGGTGAAGGAGTGTGGAAAGAGAGGCAATTGGAATTCCAAAACTAGTGATAAAATATTACAGCTATGTTAATGTGAAACTCACCTGTGAAATAGTTAGTAAGTGACATACTGCAGACCTTCTTCTATGTATAGACTTAGAATATGCTCACTGCTTATTTTGATCATGTTTTGTCCAATCAGTTATCCTCTATTCCTGGCTTAGAGGATGTCAAATTTGAAGTGTCCAGTGCAAATCTGAATAATGTTACAACTAGTCCCATGGCACCAGCTACTACGGATCAACAGGCAGCTGTGTCACCTCAGTCTGGAGTAAGTAATGAAGATAAATAGTGTATTGAAGGAATATACTTCTTCATATCAAATTTCTAATCTGAATTGAAGCAAATGGAAGAAGTAAGTCTACTTAAAGAGGGCAGTCTGTAAAGATCTGAAGTTACGTTTTTCATTAATGAAACTAAACAATGGCATCTAAAACAAGGCCATACCCTTTCATAAATATGTGGATTAAATAACTAGAACTAACTCAAATCAAATAGTAAATGATTTCATCCTCTTTGGTCAGTCACACTAAAATATAAACATGAATTACCTCAGAGATTGGAAAGGTCATGAATGAAAGGAACAGCTCATCTCACATAATTCCAGTTCTTTTCTTGTGTTTTAGAATGTGAGCTTCTAGGTCGACTTCAAGTTTCTAGCATACTTTTTTAATAGTGGTTATTAAAGTGAAGGCAGAATGCATTGACCACTTGGGGAGAGAGCTACAGTATAAACATAATAAATATGATCTTAGCAAAATCTTTCATAGAAAGAACGTGTTTAAATTAGTTCTGTTTTATTTATTAAATACAGTTGATGGTTGCTTTAGGCTGCATGGATGTCTTGTGGTATTGGACTGTTGAATTTTTTTTCCATGTGTTGTACAGTAAATTATTGCCAGAAGTATTTGGGGGTTGGATTCAATGATCTCTTAAGGTCCCTTCCAATCCCTGCGATTCTGTGATTCTGTGAGTATAGATCAGAAAAATCATGATGTAAGAGGAGTTGTACTTTACTCTTCAGGTTCAAACTTCTTGGATTGAAGTCTCTCAGTGCTTCTGATCTGTGTACCTAGCCTAACCACTGAAGTCTTATCTTCCTTGTATACAGCAGAATAATAAACATGAAGAAGCATTACAGAAAACGGAGATAGTAACAGAAAATATGAGAACTGTGGCCAAAGACCCAAGATATGCCAGATATCTCAAAATGGTACAAGTGGTAAGTCAGCTGTCATATCGTTCTTTGGGTAGTCAGTTATTTTTAGGTGAAACATCACACACAACTGTAAGTGAATGTGGAAGGCATACATTGTGTCAATAATCTTTAAGCTAGAATAGCATTAACATGCAAGGATTGGTCTGAAGGTAATGCCTCCTGTTCTATAGTGTTGTCCCACAGTGTCACAAGCAGATGTTGGTGTTATGGCAGTAGAGTTAGAACCTTCCCATCAACATTGTTACATTTTGTTGTGCAACAGATGGCAGCAGAGGGGCAGCCTAACAAAATGGTGTCTGATACAAGAGTGTATATGTAGCAAAGATATGTAACTGAACTCCTCTGTGTGGAAAAATGGTACCCAGTTACATTTGTCAACACTAGCTAAATGTATGGAGACCAAACAGTGAATGTGAGCGCAGTGAGGCAGTGAGTGGTTACGTCAATAGATGTAACAATGATATGAAGGACAAGTCACATTCTGGACAGTCTTGTGAATTTTTATGAGCATAGAATGCCGACTCTTGTTCATTTCTGGTTTAAAAAAAAATAAAAATGCATGGCTAACGGTGTTGAAAAATGGTGTTTTGTAGCTGAGAATTTGCTCAATAAAAGAAGTGTTATTGTGTTCTTTGTACTTATTGATTTCATGGAAATAAATAGGAGGCATTACTTTTAAATCCATCTGCATACTTGCAGCATGTCTTCTCTAAGAAATGGTTTGATGTAATGTATTCCTGCAGACAGCCTCAGGCGAGTTCTTTCTACAAAATTCTGCCAATATAGTTGTGAACTGAGGGTACGAAGATGTGTAAAAGCAGAGTGATACTACTTGGAGTTATAGAAGATTGCACTGGAAGCGTAGTTACTCTGGCAGAGTTGATGTCATTCCCTGCACACAGACATGCTTGCAGCTTTTATTTGCTGCAGGGTACAACACAAAGCTTTGCCAGTATTCTCTAGAGCAGGAGAGTTTATTATTCCCATAGGGCTCAAAGTAGAGGTAGAAATATTGTTTAACTAATTAGCTCAAAGTAGAGGTAGAAGAATTGTTTAACTAATTACTTTCACTTCAGTTCCCTGCTATTCATGATGCGCGTTTAGTTTCCCACTTCATCTATCTTTTTTTCTATAGATAAACAGAAAATGAGTATAATCTCAGTACTTACACTCATGAAAATGAAGGAGTGAAAACATTGGTAGGAGATTCTTCGTGACTTTTTTTTTTTTTTTTTTTTTTTTTTTTTTTTTAAGAGCTCTTTTTTCACATCCGCAAAACTAAAAACAGCATTGGAAACAAAGAAAAAAGATCTGTCTTTATTTTCCAGCAATCATTGGAAATTTTTCTCTAAAATATATATGATAATCCTGGAAAACATTACTAACTCACAGTATAGTAAAATGTTGCTTATGTGAAAACTAACTGCATGGTTTTTTTCCCTCTTTGGAGCAATTATTACAGTTGGTGAGCTTAGTTCTTTGGATGATGTTCCAGAGCTTAGTTTTCATTTGAATCACAAATTGGCTTATTACAAATCATGTGGAAAGCCAAGCAGTGGGATAGTGGCAAAGGGCGGAATACTTTGTTAGTGTATTGATTTGATGCCAGATTTCAAAGTGGATGTGAAAGTGCTGGATGGTCTAATTACTTTGACTTTTTTTTTTTTGGTGACTGCTGGAGGAGTAAGATCTCACTTTCCACATTTATCCTTTGTACTGGCAGTTCCTGATGACTCTTCTGCCAGTTGTAAACAGTGTGGTAGGAAAGTCAAGCTAACATGCTACATATTAATGTGTGTTTTTCTATTTGCCAACCTAGTCTTCTCGCCCAGTCAGGTAGTTCAGTTAGTGTCACTTATTTGCTGAAATTAAGTATCTAAGTGAAGATTTATTTGAACTGATCACTTATTTATGGCCCACAATATTTCTAGTATTGGAGAATTAGCACTGGAAGTGGTATTTCTTTTACGCTGAGGATAGCTGTTTTGTGGAACTGTAACAAACTCATTTTGATGGAGTGCCGTTGAGCAAAAATTCTTTTTTTTTTTCTTAAATACAAAGCAGCAGTATTCAAGCAAACATTACAAAAAGAGTATCATGTTTGCTACAGTAAATGTTCAGAATTCTTGTATTGACAGAGTGAGAGGAGTACTGCAAGGCTTCAGATACATGGTATGTTTAAAGTAAATGTACTTCTGGTGGATTCTAAACACCAGATGTGACTGTGTAGAGGCCAAGATACTGATTGGCCTAACATACATTGATTCTTGCTTTAACGAACTCAAATAAAAGTGAAATTTGCTTGCTACACTGATCCTAAGTAGTTGCCAGCAGTAATGATATTTAACCTCTTTCTGAACTGAGGAGGACCAAAACTCTTTTACAATGAGATTCCCACTTGCAGCGTAGGTTCTCCAGGATCTGCACACTTCTTAAGCCACAGGACGAGCCTGGATATAGGCTGGGATACAGTGTGCTGAATTTAGACTATGTCAAACTTTAAGTGGACAAGAGACAGGGATGAGACTTCAGTGTTGGCTTGTGTTAAAAAAGTACGCCTGCCGTTTAAGTTGACTTGTTTGCTCAGTGTAATCATAGTTTATAGTTAATGTTTAGATTTAAAATAATTGTTTTATTTTAATAATACACAGCACTATTAGACTCTGATTTTCCAGTTTAAACTTAAGAAAATATGAAGGATACAGTATTTGTAGTACCCTAATTGTATTATAAACAATTATAGATATAAACTTATTTGTTATCCCTTGATGAAAAAGGTGTACAGCATTCAGGGGAATTTTGATTAAACTTATGATAAGTTTGGTGAATCTGATACATGAAGGTATTGAAATCTTTTTTTCCAGTCTTCAGATGTATTGTCTTTCAGATTAAATTTATTTTTTATTTGGACTGGGACTACAAATGTTAAAAAAACTTAATAGGGCAGAATTTACCAATAGGGAAAAAATGGTACTTGAAGAACATAAAGTTTCTGTTTATAAGCAGAAAATACCTAAAAGGTGTTTAAGAAGTTAAGATGGCTGTGACTTCTCACAAGAACAGTCTTAAAAGTAATGAGTTACCTTATGCTAGTACATGAATGATCACAATGTTTCTGATGCTACAACAGTGAGAGAGCTAGTTAGTATTGCATGAATTCCTCTATTTTATAATTGGTGCAAAATCTATTTCTGTTAACAACTGTTGAAGCAATGCGTTCTACAAAGTCTCTGAGTTACGAGTCTGCAAGTATTGAAGAGACTTCTCCAGTAGCTGTGACCTTAAGTGTCTTCCACTAGCTACAAAGCAAACTTGTTAGTTTATGTATCTAGCGGTTGGCATTCTGATTTAAAAAGAAAAATCTTTATCAGATAATAGATTCTGTGTTTTAAAATGATTCTTGCATATGTTGATGCATACAGTTTTGGAATAAAACACTTCTCCAAGTGAGAGCATAACGATATAACGGTCTCCACTCCACTGTTATTAGTTCATATACTAAGCTTCCTTTCATTGAGAGCAAATAAGAGTGCCTTGTTTTCAGTTGGCTTGAACTGATGCGTAAACAATTCAGTGCTGATGAAGGACCCTATGCATTAAACAGTCATAAAATACTCAACTGTTTCCCCTTTGTCATGTGCATGAAATGTTATTTACTGAGAAATTATGTATCATAATCTAATGCCTCACAACTGTTTGAGTCAGATTTTTGTCTAGTCCTAGTAGACCGCTAGCTATATGCAACTGGCTTAGCTCACACTTTGCCAGGTTAGCTACTGCAGTTGTCACTAGAACTGTGTTCTTCTCTGGAACATCAGTCATTACTGTTCATTATTTTATCACTATTTTATTTACTTTAGACAAAAGTTATTTGCCCTGTGCCAAAAGAATCCTGCAGTACTGTTCATTTAGTTTTCTAGGTTTCTCCTGCCTTTCCTAGAGCACTAGTATTATTGTCCCTTGGGATTAGAGATTCAATTATCTTCCCCACCACCCCCCTCTGCATTGGTATGCTGTGGTTCAGGTGGTGTTTCTGATCATTTGCAACAGGAGATGGCAAAGCAGCACATTTTCTTTGAGCAATTGTAGTGGAAGCACAGGAACAGTTTGTTGGAATGCATTTTGTAAGACTGTGTGGGTCAAAGTGTTCTTCAGCATGTGATCTAAGATGAGGGGCTGAATAAAACAAAGTGAAGAAGCTGTGGAAGGACTTAAAGTAAAAAGAATTTTTTCTTAGCTGGCTGTAATCTGTCTGCACATCATTGAAGATTCAACCCTGACTTCACAAGCACTTGTATTCAGAGGATTCACTTTTAAATTGTCATTCTCTTCTCAAGTCCAGTTTGCCTTTTTCCTGCATACTTTACAAAGACTTTTCCAGTTTTTGGCAGTACCATGAGAAACCTTTCCAGAGCAATAGGAGATGCTTTTACCACTGAAGCTGTACCTTGCATGTCTTGAGTTCTCTTGTCTTTCCAGCACAGCTGCTCTCTGCTGTCTTTGTGCTACTTTGTGCTTTCTTCATATTCTCATTGAGAGAAATAACTTCATTATACTGGGCTTATCTGCATGAATTGCAAATCAATTTGTCCGTTGCTGATTTCCTCAAGTTTTTTGAGACATTTTGCCGTAAAGATAAGAAGGATTAAAAAGGGCTTTGATCTCCGACATTACTTGCTTCTAGGTTCATACTGATGGCAAGTGAGATTATCAATCCATGTTCTTGTTCATCGTGTGATTGTGCATCTTTTTCTGAAAATGAGTTCAGAAGAAGCTGTGAAATTCACTAATTTGTGTCCAGTAGTTTTATATTATACTTCTCCTCCTACACAGGGTGTTCCTGTTATGGCCATACGAAACAAAATGATTTCTGAGGGGCTAAATCCAGATCTTCTTGAGTAAGTAATGTTTCCTTTCCAAATTGTAACTTTCAGTAGGGCTGGAATGCAACCATTTGTTGAAAAAAGATGGTCTGAGAAGGGCATCATAGGATGAAGGATGTGATCTCAAGTAAGAGATGCCTTTTCAATATTGTCTAGTCCAAGGCATAGCCCAAGAAATGCCGAGCTTGAAATGTAGGTGTACATATATTGCACCCTCCCGAACAGAAAGTTGCAGAACATTACCTACCAAACTTGAGAAGAAGTGGGATCACTTCTTCCAAGCTAAGCACAAGTTCAACTGAAAGGATATAGCAGTGACAAGGTGACATCTGTCAATGTACATCTAGCAATAGGGAATGAAATAATATGTCAGTTGCCATTTTGTCTGTACTGTTTTCAATATGAGATATATCCCAGAAATTTTCTTCCAACACTTTGGTAGCCAGATGTCATCGTTGTAGAGTAATGAAAACAAGCTCTATTTTATTTTGCTTTATGTATATGAGAAGTAATAGGCTTATTATCAGATTCCCTCAGTAGAGTGTACTGATACAGTGTACATGCTCAGCATAAATAGAGTAAGCTGAAGTCAACATTTCAGTGTTGTAACTGGACTGAGCCAACCTAACGTAACAACTACTAAGAATAGATAATCATTTTCAGTACTGATTTATCTAAAGTACAGATTTTAGAATCTTACATTTTCAGGTGTAGCTTAGTTTCATTGCACTGTTTCACAAAATGTATTAAACTGAGAGTGATGAAATAATAAACAGTAAGTTTTGTTCTTATCCTGTAGCCACCAAACCATTTGAAATACTTGCATCCTCTGCAGAAACTGCTGATGTATGATGATGTCAAGTCCTCTTTTCCTTTTGGTGGAGCCTTATTATAGTATGTTTACTAAAATGAAAATACTGGGAAACTGAGTTACTGTCATATGTTGAGTCATTTTATCTCCCAGCTGCTTCCTGGTGTCTCAGTAAGCCTGAAGTAGTTATTCCTCTCAGTAAAAATTTGATATTTTTACTGATCAAACAAGAAATAAAAATGCAAGTAAGAATCTATATAGGTCTGAGAAAGGATTATCAAACGTGTGTTTACTATATGTTTGTTAAATCTGTTCTGTTTCTTACTCTGTATTCCTAGTACATACTTCTGTGTAAATGCTATTTGCTCATACTTTGATGGATTTTTTATTGCAAATGGAAAAAAAGAAAAAAGAAAAATAATCAGCTGCATTTTTAAGTATCTGCTTTTGGATTTCCTGATTTAAGATGGAGTTAAGACAGAAATTTATTGCCATTATTTGAGGCTCACAGAATATGACTGGGGTTTGGTCTCAGTCCATCTTCAAGGATTCTTTGAAACACTGACGTTCAGGCAGATTGTCTTTAAGTTGTTACCAATTTGAAAATTTTACTGCCTATCTGCCTAGTTAAAGAAAGCGAATTATTTTTGGCAAGGTGACTGACGTTTCCTGTGTGTGTGTGTGTGTAAATAAGCAGTATTACTGAGATTTATTTTTTTTTTTCAAATGTATCTTGAGAAACCATGGCAAACTTTCTTTTTTTTTTTTTTAATCTTCTTGCTTTCTTGTCCCAGTATCATACAGACTTTTTTTAGATATATCTTGCCATTCGCGCAACATTTCATGGGCCTTCAGGTGGCTCAGGCCTGTTAGCTCAGTCCCAGTGACATTTAGGAACATTTACATATTGCTGTATGCTGAGTCACTTGCTACAGACTGTCCCAGCTGCCTGTTGGTGACTGTGTGTTTTTTCTGTGGCCTTAGGGCAGCTGACTAATAATGAGATGTTTATGGTCTCTTCCTTTGGATGTTTTACCTCTACTTCTGTTATCACTCCTTTCTCAGCTTTCTACAAGCTTTTTTTGAAAACTGCCTATTTTATTAAGCTAGTTTATCTAATTTTTAACTTTTGTTTCTTATCCTTTTTCTCTTGCCTGTCTACAATTCCAGGAGATTTTGTCCTGCTTCTCCTGAAGTAAAGGAATTCATTGCGATCTTCTCCTAACTAAAGGAGAGTTTTTGCACTGCTCTCTCCAGATCACATGTCTTTGCACAGCTCTTCTGTTTTGTCATTACCGTGGCAACAAGGAATAATATTGTGAAGTGGTATTTGCATGAGAAAGAAAACCCTTTCTTAATTTATTTTGGAGGTGTGCAGGGGGGTGGGAGAAGGCTCTTACGGTTCTTTTATGCACTTCTTACTTTTGTCCCAGAATGCTTATAAACACTGTGAGTGTACCTTAGGGATTTCCAACAGAGACATTAAAATAAACAATTGAAGTTGGGTAAGAAATACTCTGGCATGACACAGAGTGGTAACCCAAAGACAAATAACAGGAAAAAAGAGTGCAATTATTACCTTACTTATTAAATTTTATGTTTTATCAAAAAGAGCATTTAACTATAAGAAGCTATTTTCTGTAAAGATGATTCTTTGCCCTTTGCCAAGTATAGCTGCACGTGTACTTTGTACTCTGGTTTCTGAATTTAGCAGCGGCAGTCTTGCCTGTATTGTCAAACTCATTACATAAAAGAGAGTCTCAAAGGAGAACCAGCATCTGTGGTCAGTAGTGGTGGTTGTTCTGTAGATGACTTGCTGCTCTGTCCTCCATTCCCAGTAGATTTCTACAAGCAAATGTTTTGACACAATGTTGAGGTTCATCTTAAATATTCTTCTCAAAACTAAATACTAGAAGTCTGATCATTTATAGTCAATAAAAATCCCATGGCTGCTCTTGCATGTCAAATTTAACCCAGTGTTCTAGCCAAATTCCACTCTGAGTAATTCTTCTTTGCTTCTCTAAATTATCCCTGCAGTTTTAGTTGGATACAATATTGTTCATTTCCTGTCTTTTTTTTTTTTCATGTACTATTTACACTGCTTAATGGTGTACAGCATGTTCCTTTCAGCCCTATAACCTCTGATTAAAAAAAAAAAAAAAAAAAAAAAATTAATCAGTATTGCCTGCTTTCAACTCTCTTCAAGTGTTTGCTGCTTCTTAGTGAACTATCGTAATTTCCCATAGTCTTGAAGGTGTGCATTCAAAGTGATATCTACAGAATTTTAATGTCCAGCGAGTTACAGTTTCTAGTATTGATCTTTCAGTTCTAGGTGAAGCAACGCCGATAAGGTGTGCATTTGTAAAGCTAATAATTAATATGTTAAATGCTGTGGATATAAATTGCATGTAAATTTGGTAAAAGGTATGGCCTACTGAGTTACTCAACTACCTTCTAGGATTTACAACATAAACACTTCTTCTTGCCTGCAGGACTCCAGATGCCCCTGTGCCTGCTTGGGGAGATGATGGGAATGCAGAAGACAGTTCTGATAGTGAATCTTCCTTTAGTGACTAAAAAGACCAATTTTAGCCTTTGGAAACCTCCATTAAGTGCTAATGTGTTTGGAGCTTTTGCAAATAATGATTTTGTGTGCATTACGTGAGTGACATGATTTATCTGACAGCTTTTCTTAGCACTGAGATCTTCTGCGTTCTCTCCCAAGAAGTCTGGGCAGGCAACGTGTTTGACCTGAAACTTTCCATCATGAAAATTGATTGCGATATCCTTGTGATGTTTATCCTTTGTTAGTTCAGATTCTTTCTGATTCTTCTGGAGTTACCTAAAAAAAAAAACCTCAGAAATTTTGTTTCTTTAAACCTCCAGGTCTGTAAGACTGCATGCTGCTCATTCCTGGGTTTCTGTATAAGACTTCTAACCTAAGTTGCCTTCTGTCCCACAGCATTCAGTTAAAGTAACTTATCAAAATTTATTTTTAAACTTACGAACTGCCTTTTTTTTTTTTTTTTATTCCTCTCAAATGTCCTATATTTTTGAAGTGGTATGACAAGAATTACACTGAAGCCACCTATCTCGTAGTGTTTGCATATCAGTGATATTCTGTTTTGAAAGAGCCTAGACTACATATTTAAAATACCTATTCTTAAAGTATATACTGCTATTTGATTTCATGCTAGAGGTTATACAAAGTTGTTAAATAAATTCCTGCTCTTCAGTGTAATTATTTATCAAATTCAGGTTACAGTGGTGAAGGAAACTACAGATACTACAGATACTGCAAGGTGTTTTTTTTTTTAAGTTCACTAAGAAAAGCAAGTGACTGGGACATTGTTAACAGAATACCAGATTCTCACTTTTTACTCTCACATGGGTCAATAAAAAACATTTTATGAGCACTTTTTGGCTTGTTGAAAAGGAATTGTTGCTGTGCAGTTCACATAGGATAAAAAAACCACCTCCACGATAGTGGCCTGGCTGATATTTTCAGTAGTCAAAATTCAGTTTATGTAATGGTGAAATTACCTTGCTATCATTTGAGGATGCATTGGGTAACAATATGAAGAAATCAACTGGGAGCCAGGCTGGCCCTGAAGACTTCCCTCCACAGTAGTTAATCTGCTGTGTGAGTCAAAAATGACATTTCATTAAAGAATCTTCTTTAATATAATTTGTTCCACATTAAATTCTTCAAAATCTGTTTGAATTCCCCAGACTGTTGTGATTATACCAGAATCGTGTGACCAGCAATCAATCACTTTTTGGTATTTCACATTCTTCCCAAGACCAAGAAAATACTAAAACTGAATCTCTGAGTGTGTAAATTTATTAGCCTTAATGGCTGAGTCACTATCTCCTCTCTTAGTTATTTCTGTCACTTCAATAGGGTAGCTGATCTTTTTTTCCTGTAACTTAAGCATGGCTCCCATTTGAGTCAAGCAGATGTATTCAAGCTCTTCATAACGCATAAATCAGAATATAGTCTGAATCCCTTGGAGGAAGGTATATAGGCACTAGAAAGTGTCTGGAAGTGGCATTTCAATGATGAGTTAATTGTTATTGAACACAAACAGAAATATTCAATAGCTAACACTTGGCAAAACTTGAGAAATATTAACATATTAGCAATAAATATTTCAGAAGTAAATGTTATAATGTTACTTTAGAAACATATTAAAAAACTTTTTGAAATCTATATTTGAAAGCTTATTTAAGTGATCTGTATAATAAAAGTGATGTTTTGTAAACCAATGTTGCAGTGCCATTTTACTCCTTTGTGTTTTAAACAAAATTGGGAAAATTCTTCTGAAGTCTCTTTAATTCATGTTCCTTTATAATCAGCTATACTGAAGTTGTGACAAGTTGTGAAGTTGTGACACTCTGACTAGAGGAAAACTGAACCTGACTTAACGTTTTGTTTATCATTTTGGAGAAGCTTTTTCTGTGAAGTAATTTCAGTCTGAAGAAGATAAAATAGGTTGTCTTTTACAATTCTGTAACCTTTTAAATGGAGTATAAGATGCCCTTAACCTACAGTCCATTTTTATGTGAGACAATCAGTTGTTACATGTGCATATATTTGTCATTAAACAGTAATTTTGTTCATATAAGCATGCTGAATTTAATTGCTTAAGATATTTTTTGCAGGGTAGCTGTATTCTTTGGCGCAGTTTGGTTGTGTTAGGCTTTTGGGAGCCTAAAGAAAAATGTTACCACTTTGTTTTCTCTGCTGTATAGGTGATGGTATGCATTACAGTAAAAATCCAAATGATTGAACTATGGGAAAACAAAAGAAGAAGATAAAACCTTCTCTTTTACCTTCAGTTCATCAGCAGCCATATTTCTTCCACTGCCCTTGGACGCTCTTTCCATTAGCCTCGTCTGCTAAGCTCATCCCTGTGCTCTTAGGTTGGAGCCAAAGTCAGTCTGAGATGTTTCAGCGTAGGACACATGCTGATACAAGAATCTGTTCAGTATGGGAAGGTTGGTTTGAGTCTGTATTATGTCAGCTGTGTTAGTCCCTCTTGATCTACAGCAGTTTTCTAGTGAGCTGGTAGTAACCCAGAAAGTTGGAAAATCCTTAACCACAAGCTAAATACTATAAGCAGGGAATATTCCAATTTGCTCATTATTTGCCGTCTATTTTGGAATAGGAGGTGGATGGAGTATTTCAGCTTGGCTGTGTGGTGATCAGATATACATAGTCTGTTCAAGGGAAGAAGTCTTTTTAAGTAATTTTAATTTTCAGAAAGCTTTCAACAGCAATGATCTGTTAAAAATACTGTGTACAACAAAATGTATCAGTCATATACGTCTAATATACCCAAAATTTACATGGATTTACAATCATCGTGAAGGGCAATACTGCAATTTGCAGGCATGAGAACTGCTTCAGCTTGTTGCTGGAATAACTGTTGAACGCACCTGTTAGTACAGACCATGTACTGCAATTGTAGCAATTGTACTGTTGTACTGCTAGTAAACTATGTAGTTCGTTTTTAAACAAATTATCACATTGCTGTCTTTCTCATTTTGCAGGTAAACTGAAATGCAGAGTACGTAGAGGTTAGTTTTTAAAGACAGGCATTTTGAATGCACGTGGGTGCTTAAAGGCTTGATACATGCCTGTATTTATGTTACGGTTAAACCTCAAACAAATGTCAAAGGCAAAAGCAACGTTTGGGCATGATTTTATCCTGAAGCGCCGGTTTAGCACCTTAATTGTTGATCTGTTTCATCTCAATTGTCCTGCTGCATTTGAAAAGAAAGTAGATTGTCTTTTTTGAAAGAGGGTCTTGTTCTCTTGCTCGTTTTTCTTTCTGATGCATCTTGTTTACACCAGTGATTTTTGTGAACAAAATACCATAAGAAGCTATGGGCTGTATTTTGAAAAAGAGAACATCACCAAGATCATCAGTTTGAGTCACATGTGCTTTCCATGATGATATTTAGCAAGAAACTGAAGTTCATAACTGTCTTAATTTTGGAAGAAATACAGCTTTATCCCTGAATAACTGATAAAAGGATCGTAGAATATCCCATGTTGGAAGGAACTCATAAGGATCATCAGGTCCAGTGTTGCAGTGCATTTGCCTGCACAACAGAGCATGTATTTTTATACTTCCCAGAAAATTTGGCAATTTCTTGTCTGACAATTACAAATCAAATGTTGGCACTATTACCCGAAATGTTATCCTCATGATACTTAATGTTATGTTGTCTCCATTTGGACACTTTGTAGGTGAGATAGGAGCTACCACACAGCTCAGACCTGTGACTCACTTTGCCTTGCAGTTCTGTCTCTTGTAAAAGTCAATTCTAAGTGCTTTAACAGAAGATGTGAGAAGTACCACACTGCTCCTGTAGTCCCGTTGTCTGCCACCAGCTGTGAGCAGAGATTAATGCTTGGTGCTAGATTACAAGTTTGTTAGTGCTTCCAAAAACATTTGCATTAGTGCTGGAAGCTTTGGATATTCCTGCCTTGTGTTCGGCTGTCTAGCTTTGCTAATGTTTTAAGACAGTTTCAAGGATTGGTTCATTTTGAAGGAAATGAAGCAGAAAGTTAAAATTGTGTACTCCGTGCCATACTGAAAATGAATGACAGAAACAAGCCGAGCACTGGATAACCCACATACTCTTATTTTGGCGTAACTTGAGGACAGATATAGCATGACAAACTTATCCATCTCTCTTCAGTCCAAACAGATTATTTGGGGGGAAGAAGAGGCTGAGGAGAGACACTATTGCTCAAATACTTGAAACGTGACTGCAGCGAGAGTGGGGCTGGTATCTTCTCACTGCTGACAGGTGACAGGACAAGGGGAAATGGTCACAAGTTGCACCTGGGGAGGTTTAGGTTGGACATCAGGAAAAACTTATTTGCAGAAAGGGTTGTTAAGCACTGGAATAGGCTCCTCAGGGAGGCGGTTGAGTCACCATCCCTGGATGTGTTTAAAAACCATTTGGACGTGGTGCTCAGGGACAAGATTTAGTGGTAGCTGTTAGAGTTAGGGTAGTATGGTTAGGTCATGGTTGGACTTGATGATCCTTAAGGTCTTTCCCAACCTGAGCAATTCTATGATTCTATGATTCCTTTTCAGTGTATTTCTCATTTTCAGGAAGTTTTGCTAATCAAGCTCTCGCATGATCCATTGTCTCAGCTTGCATTTGAATGCTGGCTGCTGTGTCTGAGGATATGTTGTTCTCTGTGAACTAGAAATCCCTTTCTGTACTTCATTATCTATCCCGATCTGTGGGATCAGAAGCTGTAGTAAAGTGGATGCTAGGCTTGGGACCCAAATATACTGGAAAGAGCATGTATCTGAGTGCTGAAAAGGGTTTATCAAAGGAAGGGGATGTGGGAGTACATTTTGCATGTATGTGAACAGTGCTTTATGTTCTATCAACTGTTTAACAAACCTTACCCTTCATGTTACTTGTAGATGTGAGAATTACTTCAGTTACACTGCTGTTATAAGTTCAGTAGCAGAAAAGGCCTGTTATAATTGATAAATCTACCAGTTGAGTTTATCATTTTTGCTTTCAAATTATCTCTAATATTCAGTTGACTTTCTCAGCAGAGTTCATAATCTGTGTTTGATTTCTTGTATCACAGTTTACATAATTTTTGAGGGACATGGAGAATCTTCCCCAGTGAGAGCTAAACTTTTCACAATGTGTTGAAGTGTTGATTTCTCCATATTGATTTCCAACAGCCCTTTGAAAACAAATAGTTTTGCATGCTGAGATGATCCTTTGATTTTTCGGGGCCAGTTTTAGGGTAGAGTTGAAGTAGGAAGGAGGATGGGTAGAGAAAATGAGTGTCTGTTGGTCTGAGTG